ACTCAATGGGACTCTGCAATGGTACACGATTGGTTGTGACTAAACTCTCCAATTATGTTTACGAGTGTAAAATTCTTACTGGCGATCATGCAGGTGATAAAGTTTTGATACCTCGGATGACAATAATTCCTTCAGATGTTAGAGTACCATTCAAATTTCAAAGAACGCAGTTCCCTATTATGGTTTAGTACGCAATGACTATAAACAAGAGTCAAGGTCAATCATTATCGCATGTTGGCTTATTCTTGAAGAAACCAGTTTTTAGTCATGGCCAGTTATATGTCGTCGTCTCCCGTGTTACTAACAGAAAGGGTCTGAAAATTTTAATTTGCGGAGAAGAAGGTTTGAAAGAAAATCAAACCAATAATGTTGTGTATAGAGAAGTCTTTAATAATATATGATTTTGTTTAGATTTTGTATTTCTCTATCCTCTTTTCCGTTGTAATCAAATTATTAATTTATTAAAAAATATTTAAAATAAAGTTTAAAAAAAAAAAAGTTTGAGGAAATAACCCCGCTGTGCTGCGCACGGGTACCATACTAGTTTTATTGTATTTTTCAGTCAAAGGTTACTTTGACAATTTATTGTTGTGAGAGGGTTATATGAAGCAATTTTTTCATTATTTAATATATATTTATAATATTAAAGATAGTATGGTTGAGTTAGATTTTAAATTGAGTTAAAAAAAAGATCCAATCAAAATTGATTTTAACTAATTTTAATGCTTTACCAATTGCTCCTAAAATTTGTATAAAGTCCATAAAAAGTCATTTATGTTAAAAAAAAAATCTTAAGAAATTTTTAAGAGCCCTAATTGTTACAGACTTATAGGTCTACAGTAAATGTGAACTGATTTTTTGTCAACAAAAGTTGTGAACTTTTACTTTCAACAAACCTGGCTAACAAAAGGGTATAATAAAATCGACTTTACAGTCGCTCGGCTCACTTTTTTCACACCTTTTCAAGTTTCCAAGAACAAGCTCCAACTACTCGTTCCCTCTATTATTATCTCCTTAGTAAAGCTCCAAGTATGCCCAAGCATAATTTTCATGTACTCGTCCAGATGCTACGATTGATTGTTGTGTGTGCTCTGTTTTCCGGGTTTGTTTTGGGCAACAAGGTTTGTACCAATTCTGGTTTGCAGTCACACACTCTACGCTATCAATGGTTTTCCTCCTCAAAAAATGAATCTTGGGAAGGACACAATCCGAATCATTTGGGTCTGATTCCTGGTCATGATCATACCTGGTCCGAATCAATTCCTAGGAAAATGTTGAGGGAGGACGATGAAATTAGCTGGAACATACTGTACAAGAAAACGGAGGGTTCTAATGGGGTTGGGGGTTTTGGAGCAGGTTTTCTAAAGGAGGTCTCGCTGCACGATGTGAGGTTGGATCCTAGTTCGATTCACGGTGTGGCCCAGCAGACGAATTTGGAGTATTTGTTGATGTTGGATGTTGATAGATTGGTTTGGAGTTTCCGGGAGACGGCCGGTTTGGAGACTCGTGGCGAGCCGTATGGTGGTTGGGAGTCTCCGAGTATTGAGCTCCGTGGTCATTTTGTAGGTTGGTGGGTTTTGCTGAGGCGTTTTTGGTGTTTGGTTTTGTCTGATTGCAGTTTTTCATTTTCGACTGTTTGCATACAGCATGTATGGTCCTGTTTCTGCTTGAAATTTCTTTTTTTTTTTTTTTTAATTAAGCATGTGATGGAGATTTCTTGTGGATATGTTCAATTTTAGAAAAATTTGCAGTTAGTTCTTCTTGAATTTATACTGGTTTCCGAAAGTCGAATTGTTAGCTGTCGGACCTCGTCTAATACGACGTTGGCTTCTTGAGTTACTTCTTTTTCTAATGTCAGTTTAAATGAGAATCGCGGAGTAGGTGAACATGGCATGTCAGTTGAATAAAAACGAGGCACGTTTTAATAGTATGATCCATAAGAAGAGTTCAATCCATCTTGAATCTGTCTGTTGTAAATTTTTTTGCCTTTATGTAATGCATTCATTTCACCTTATTGAAGGCCATTACCTAAGCGCATCTGCACAAATGTGGGCGAGCACACATAACGCCAGTCTCGAAGAAAAGATGTTGTTACTGGTTTCTGCCCTTTCAGACTGCCAGACTAAGATAGGCACCGGTTACCTTTCAGCATTTCCATCCGAACTGTTTGATCGTTTTGAGGCTCTAAAAGAAGTGTGGGCCCCGTATTATACCATTCACAAGGTAAAAAGCTTCTACTTTATCGTTAAACAATGCTGTTATTGTCTGCTCGCCAACATCATCCTGCGATGAGATTTGCAGATATTGGCCGGCCTCTTAGATCAGTACACATTGGCTGGCAATTCTCGAGCTTTAAGAATGGCGACTTGGATGGTCGACTATCTCTACAAACGTGTGCAGAACGTTATTTCAATGTACACCATTGAAAGGCATTGGCTGTCACTAAATGAAGAAACAGGCGGCATGAATGATGTGCTTTATAGGTTGTACATTATCACGGTGAGTGTGCTTGAATTAAGAATATATCTCAATTTTTTGCTTCATATCAAATCAACTCCATTCTTGTTATGGATTGAATTTTCAGGGTGATCAAAAGCATTTATTATTGGCCCACTTGTTTGACAAGCCATGTTTTCTGGGATTGCTAGCTCTGAAGGTTAGTAGTTATGGCCTTTCTTTTAATCATGAGATCCAATCTGGTTAAAGTTTCGATGTTCACCAATGGTATTGATATTAAGACTTTGTACTGATAGGCTGATGACATATCTGGTTTTCATGCCAACACGCATATTCCCATTGTTATTGGAGCTCAACTGCGGTATGAAATTACCGGCGAGCCACTTTATAAGGTAGAACTCTAGTTTTTTAGATATTGAGCCCGACGTGAGAATCATACTAAGACTAGATTAAAGTGATTTAAGGAAAAAAGGTTGCTTTTATAACTGTTTGTTATGCTTTTTTCAGGAAATAGGTACATTTTTCATGGACATAGTGAACTCATCTCACAGTTATGCCACAGGAGGAACGTCAGTTAGCGAATTTTGGTGCACAATTTTTCAACTTTAAAACATTCATTGTATTTATGAATTAAACAGGAACTTGTTAAACGATATGATTCGGCAGTCTTTTTTTCCAACTCAACTATCCCCTTTGGTTCCTTACCACTTACCATTTTTTGCCATCAATTTATGGACATGTGGGGTAGGTCTGATCCCAAGCGACTGGCCAGCACTCTGCAAACTGAGAATCAAGAATCTTGCACAACGTATAACATGCTAAAGGTTTGCCCATATCTTTTTTTTCTCACTAGAAAAAAGAACAGGAAATTAACACTTCTCACAAAATAAATAAATAAATAAATAAATAATAATAATAATAATATATAATAGTGTTCTTGATGTTTTTCTGCCTGGATCTGGAAGGTTGCTCGCCACCTCTTTAGATGGACGAAAGAAATGGCGTACGCAGATTATTACGAAAGGGCGCTTACAAATGGTGTTTTGGGCATTCAAAGAGGGAAGGAACCTGGTGTCATGATCTACATGCTTCCTTTTCGTGCTGGTGGCTCTAAGGCAAGAGGGTATCACGGATGGGGAAATAAGTTCGATTCGTTCTGGTGTTGTTATGGCACAGGTGCAACATAGATAGGTTTTGCTGCCCTTGAGATATTGACATTTAGTCTTTTTTTTTTCCTACAAGAAGTAAAAGAGGAGTAACTATATTATTTCGGCTTGCTTGTCTACAGGAATCGAGTCATTCTCAAAACTAGGAGATTCAATATACTTTGAGGAGGGCAAAGATTTGGAGCTTTACATAATACAATATATACCAAGCACCCTTAACTGGACAAGTGGCCAAATTCTGCTGACCCAAAAAGTGGAACCTGTAGTGTCGTGGGATCAAAGGCTTCGAGTAACGATTACGATTTCTTCTAAGAGGGTATATAATAACTATGTATATTACATCTTCATTTACGAAAATAATTGTTTTTGTTTTTTTCAAAGTGGCATTCCCAATGATTTATTTCAGAGATGGGAGCAAAATATTTTGCACGAATGTGATAAGTATTTGAAAACAGAACTAACGACACCAAGAAGCCTCTTATTTCATAATCCTGAGATTGGTTCCTTCTTTGTATTTTCCATCTCATCTGGAAACAGGTAGTAATATCATTGGTAACGCATATTTTCGAGTGAATTTCGACCTTTTTGCAGCAATCAGAAAGATTATCATCGACACTGAGATTGAGGATCCCACTGTGGACACATTCAAATGGTTCTAACGCATCTTTAAATGGTCAGCATGTGTCCCTGCCAGCACCAGGTAAACTTTACATATCTCGTAAAAACATTATCAACGTCGTATTTCTCCTATTATAATGAAGCAATTGGAAAAATAGAAACAAACAAAAAAAGCGTGTTGATGATCATTTTTCACTCCCTGATTCAGGTAAGTTCCTATCTATTAATAAACATTGGAGCTTTGGAGATGAAATAACTCTTCATCTCCCCGTGCTTTTAAGAAGTGAGCATATTCAAGGTAAATCAAATCATCTTCTTTGAATCTTTCTAGATATATCCAAGAGGATCATTTCATTTTCTGCCTTTCCTTACAATGTCTGCTTCTTACAGATGACAGAACAGAATTCGCTTCTATACAGGCTTTTCTCTACGGCCCATACCTTCTCGCAGGCCTGTCCAGTGGTGATTGGGACCTCAAAATTAATCTTAGCACGTCCCTTTCGGATTGCTTGACACCTATTCCTGCCAATTATAATTCCCAACTAATCTCTCTCGCGCAAGAATTCAAGAACTCGACATTTGTCCTAACAAACTATGACCAGATCATGAAAATGGAGAAACTTCCCGAGCCCGGAACTGATGCTGCCCTAAAATCTACTTTCAGACTCGTATACCAGTCAAAGGCCGAAAAATTGGTCAAGCTAGAATTGTTTGATTTTCCAGATACGTTTTTGTCGTCTGCTGATAAAAGTTCGTCTATTTTCCGTCTGACCAGTGGGCTGGACGGCGAGAATGGAACGGTCTCGCTCGAGTCTGAGAGCGAAAAGGGCTGTTTTATTTATAGTGGGCTTCTGAGCGGTTCGGACCCGGGCGTAAAGCTCAACTGCAGTTCAGGCCCATTTGATGATGCTGGGTTTCGACAAGCAGCAAGCTTTATGTTGCGGCATGGATCTAGCGAATATGATCCGATTAGCTTCGTGGCGAAAGGGGTTAGAAGGAACTTTGTGCTTGCTCCTTTACTTAGCTTGAGGGATGAGTCTTACACAGTGTATTTCAATACATCAGTGTAAATAATGACTGTAAAATAATGTAAAGTTGTTTGAATAAGAATCAAGAACTTGCATCATATGGATCGGTTTGAAGTAGATTAACAGTTACAAAATAAATGAACACTCTGTTAAAACAGTAGATTATGTAAAACTTAATGATCATTAAATCAAATTATAGAAGATTTTTTGTACTCTGCAAACACCATAATGATCTCACATGGGAAAAGCTGCCCATATGATATAGAAGTGGACTGGTCATTTTAACTTGAGACATTGATCTCTCGTGAATCTATGCCTAAATATATGCCAAGTGGTACCAATTCTGGGAACTGCGACGGTTCTATTATAAAATCATTCAATCGGGATTTGTAACTGTTAGATCACCTATTCTCGACGATTACATGATGATCTAACGGTTACAAACCCGACAAAATAGTTCTGAAACGAGACTGTAGTATCTCCCACCAACTCTATATAAAGTTTAAGATTTTTGTGTGACTCCTTTCCTTATCCACTTTTCTTTGCTTCACCCTAAGCATCGCAAATAATTAGGTGCGCCCTGGCACACGATAGTAGCACTGACTAAGCATTGTTCCTCATCATTGTCTACAATCTATTTACCATTTTTCAATCCCATTTATCTTTATCATTTTATGTGATTATTATTACTATTGTAAAATAAAAAATAAGAAAAGAAAAAAGATTTTCCTTTTGTTTTTGTGCAAATACAAATTAGAAATTTCCTTCTATTCATGCAATTACAAATCATTTATCTCGTGAGAGTTTTTCACTCGATCTTTACTATCATCGTTTACCAGTACGATAATCATACTAGTACAATATCAGTATAATACACCGGAGTCGAAAAATATATGTATATATATTAAAAAAAAAGTTGTAATTTTTTTTTAAAATTTAAATGTTTTAATATTTATATAAGAACTGTATCACCAAGTTTATTTATATTGACATTCCTGTGTTAAATATGGTCTACGGTAATTTTATATTGACATTCCGTGTGTTCTTTCTTGAGGAACAAAATTAGGTAAGCTTTTTAGGTCTGAACCTCAAATATATTAGCAAAATCATGATGTTCCAGGAAAAGCCATGCACGAGAAGAGCACGTGCCATGTATTCTTAGCTGTTTCTTGGTGGGCTCGAAGCCCACATTAAATACTGTGGGCCTCAGTATTCTGAGGTGCCAAGTTAATACGACAATTCGACCAACTGTAGACTGCCGAATTTATTATTATTATTATTATTATTTTTTAATGAGTGCACATCATCCACATGATTAAATTAATTTCAAAAATTCTTCGCTGTTTCAAAATAATACCAAGAATAATAAATGAAGAACTAAAAATTTTCCATCCAGTCTAACCTCTTACACGTAGAGCCATTTCATTTTTAAAGAATAGAATAACTTTAGCATATTTGAATCTCTCCGGAAAATTCTAGACTAATGGGTCAATTGTCAATGTCTAATTTATAACACTATTGAAGTAAGGGCGTGATTGGATATGTTAGGGGTCCACAAATTTCGGTTAACCGAGTCGAATCATCCGAAACAGAAAAGGTTCAGTTTTTGGTTTACATTCTTTTAAAATTTTAGTTTTCGGTTCGGCTTGAATAATTGTGATCGATTAACCAAATCAAACCGAAACCGATTTGTACTCACATATATATACATGTTTTTTATTTATACATATAAGTTATAAAACCATTAAATTGGTTCAAAGATTGATGATTTTCAAGCTTCAATGACCCCTAAAATGGCTCAATCATTAATTTGCACTCAAGATTGGCTTCATCATAGTCTAAATCACGGTTCTGGTCCGAGATATTACTTTGAGGAGGATTTAGAATTTATTGAGAAGATTAAATAAGGTATAAAAAATTAATTTTGGTTCGGATAAAACATCAAATTTTTTGTTTGGTTAAAAATTCAGAATTTATTGAGAAGATTAATTATTTATTACGGTTAACTGAAACCGAACTGAACCGACCGCTGAATTTTCGGTTATGATAATGGTTCGGTTCAGTTTCGATCGAATGAGCAACCCTAGACATGTATACAACTGGTTGTCCTTGGTTAAAGTGAGTTTTTTTAATAAAGTTGACTAGGTTGATTATGTTGAGTTTGTAATTAAATAATATTTAAAATGTAAAAGTTGATGTGATATAAAAGTAGAAACAAAGTTATTGAAAATGATAAGTTGTTAGAATTATGTGAATTGATAAAAAAGTGAATTAAAGTTGATAGAAATATGATGATGATTGATTGAATTTATTTAATTATAATAAAAAAGTAACAGAATGTTATGAAGTAACCCATGTGGATAGACTTCTATCCATGTAGACTTTCAAAATCATAACAATTTACTAACTTAAATTACAAGTATATTTTAGAATTTAATAATTTTCTATTTGTTATCAATTTTTATTTATGCTATATCAAATTAATTCTTTTGACAAGTTTTGATTTTACATCTATATTGCGTATATAAAATGAATAATTATGTTTATCTTTTATAAAAATTGAGTTATGTGTTAATATTAATTAAAAAATAAAATTATGTATCAATTAAATAAATTTATTCATAGTTATTAAATGATATGAATTATATCATAAAAAAAGTATTTAACTTTTAACAAAGACTTTATCTAATAGATTTAAGTATAAATTTTTTAACTAATATTCGTGTAACACACTGGAGTTTTGTACTAGCAATTTTATATTTCAATATCTTATTTTTTCTGAATTTGAGGAAATAAATTATGCAGAAAGTAATGTAATTGAGGTAAAAGTTAGTATTATAATGTTTCAAGATTTTTATTGAGTACGATTTAGCTATTCATGTAACTAGTATTCATCCTGTGCACATGCACAAAGAAAAATAAAAATTTATATATTATATTTATGTATACAATATATACAAATTTTATATTAAATAATTGATGTATTACATTTTAAATTTGGACTACATGCAAATGTGTAATGTAAATATAATTTATTTAACTTATGTATGAATCTTTATATTGATGCCATAAATTTTAATGGCTAATATAATTTAGTAATTTAGAGAGACCATACAATTAATTAGTTAGAAAAGTATTACAATTATTATTATCATTGTTATAGCATTTGTTTATGTAATTTTAAGGTGTTTAATTATGACACTCATGTCAATTAACTTATTAGATAAAAATCGCTTAAAAAGAACAAAAATATTTTATTTTAGAAAAAGTATTTTAAAGAAAAAAATTGCAATACTATTTTTTATAAGTATGTAACTTCCACATACTATTTAATGTAAAGTTGTAATCAATTAGTGTTAGTAGTGAATAAATTATATTAAAATTATTATTACACCTTATTAATGTAAAATGTAACGGTTCTACATTAATTGAAAAAATGAGCGGGAAAATGAATGGAGGTTTTATTAAATGTTTTATTAAATTCTATATGCCAGCAATTATATATATATAGATATCATCGACCAGTTCACGATATCGAGTTTGTGCTAATAAGATGCTAAAACTAGACATGACCACAGCGCCGAACTGGCCCGTGGTTTTACCCGAGCCAGCTTCGGTTCAAGCGTTTACAAATTCTGAACCGGCGATTCCACTTTGGTACCAGGAACAATTGAATTTTTTTTATCATTTTAATTAATTTTTTAAAAATCCAAACCAACCCAAAATCGTCTGTTCAATGAATAGACCCGTATATATTCCCTGGTCAGTTCAGGGCCCCCAAAACGCGGCCTGGAATAGGCTCGAAACCCAGTTTAGGCCATATCTAGCTCAAACTAGTCGAACTGCTTAGGGTTTGTTTGTTTATCAATTATTTCAACTCATAGTCAATTCATACTCAAAATCTAACTCAACTTTAAACCAACCTCAAGATCCTCAATATTATCAGTATAATTCGATAATATCAACCAATCATTTTACATATCACATCAACTTTAATTCACTATTCATCCACTCAAACAATTTTAACTAACAATCACTTCACATCATCTCTATCATCCTTTTACATCAAATTAACTTTAATTATTTTATTTTAAATTTTATCTTTAATGATGAAATGGATCTCGCACGGTCTTGACTTGAGCTAGTACAACGGCGAACGGCCTCCGAACTTACAAGAACTCAACAATGGAGTGAGGATTTTTCGGTGAAAAGCCCTTGATCGTTGCACAGAGAATATATGAGTAGAGAATGTAGAGATTGCAATGTCTAAATGAAGCTATCTAACTCCTATTTATAGGAGCGAGTTACTTGCTGCCTAAGTTTCCCTAAGATTCCTTCTTGTAATTCAATTTTCCTTGTTAACAGCCTACTCGTAAGACCAATCCCCACGTCACCAAGAAGAGACACCTCCCCCTCAACTCATGTACCACCTCAGAGTTTGATCCCTCAACCAGAGTTCCTCCACGTCCAATAACCGCCAGTAAAGCCGAACTCTTCTTGTCAATATGCTCATGTCGACCTCTTACTAAAAGACCCTATTGTCCTGATGCCATACTTAAACTGACTGATAGCCTTAACTCTATCAGCCAACCCGTCCAATTTGGTTGTCTGGTTTTCAGGTCTAGGCAATCCAATATGGTATCGCATCTCATCTAGTCCCCCCCACTCTGGTAGAGCTAGTATAGCTCGATCCAAGAGTTGGTTTGGTTATCCTCAGCTCGTCACTTTTGACCTCTGTTTGTTGCGGCTCGACCTGCCTACTTGTTCTATTGACATCCCATCGCTTTTCGGACCTTCCCCCTCAAAGAATTGAATTTGAAATTTTGTACTGCTGCTTACTTTTAGTCGACACAATATTTGAGCTCCTCCCAATCTTTTTGGCACCACTTTTTTTGACCACCTCCACATTCAGGTCGAGCATTGACTCCCGAAGATCATCTTCGACCTGACGTCACATTTAGGTCAAACCCTGATTCCTAGCTCGTTCCGCCAGTGTATCTGGTCCGTTTTCTTAATTTTCTAGGTCTGGGTGACCCGATGGCATCCTGTATGCTTTTCTGATCCCCACCACTCTGGTCGAGACAAGATAGCTCGATACAAGAGTATATTCCTTTGCTCCTTATTTTTATCGATCTTGCTTTGATATCTCTCGACCTGCTTACTTGGACTTCCATTATACCTTGATAGATTTTCTCGACCTCTCCCCGAAGTCTTGAATTTTTAAATTTTGAACTCACGTGTGCCCTTTTTCATCCACAATGTTCTAGCTCTATTTGCTCAGAGATAAACCTTTCTGACCACAATGTTCGAGCTCTCTTTGCACGAAGATATGTTGGAATACGTATATATTATGTATGTGAAAGTTGAGTAAAATAAGTAATGTGAAGACGGTTAGACTAAGACTTTATTTGAAGGAGGTAGAAACTTTTTATTTCTTCTCAACTCATCAATTTCCTTTACATTACACATGGGGTATTTATAGGCAACCTTGGAAGTTTCTAGTCCATGCCACATAATTCATTTTCTTGGATTTTTTTACACAAACTACACATGCCATAATATCTTTTCTTAGATTATTCTACATAAATATAATCTACCACATTCTAGATAATTTTTTCAAATACAATATTATAATTTATAAATCAAGTTTAATGTTCAATACCCCCTCTTAAACTTGATTTGTCATCCCGAGCAAACTCCTGAGCCTTGTAAAATCTTCATACTTGAGGGGCTTGGTAAAAATGTCAGCGATCTGGTCTTGTGATTTGACGTGCTCCACTTGAACTTCCTTTTTTGAAATGCACTCTCTGATGTAATGGAAGCGTGTGTCTATATGTTTGCTCCGATTGTGGATCACCGGATTCTTTGCTAGTGCAATTGCCGACTTGTTGTCCACAAAAATTGTTGTTGCCTTCATTTGTGGCCACCCAAGCTCATTTAGTATGTTCCTTAGCCAGATTGCATGACAAACGGTGGATGTGGCGGCTACATATTCTGCTTCACATGTTGACAGTGTGACTATTGGTTGCTTCTTCGACATCCACGTGAAGGCAGTATCTCCCATAAAGAATACAAAGCCACTTGTACTTTTCCGATCATCATTGTCTCCAGCCCAATCGCTATCACTATACCCAACAAGTTCGTAATGATTAGTATGTGAATAGAGTAGGCCATAGTTGAGCGTACCTCTCAGATATCGAAGAATTCTCTTGGCCGCCTTGAGATGTGTAGTGGTTGGATTTTCCATGTAGCGACTCACGACTCCAGTTGCGTAGAGAATATCGGGTCTTGTACATGTCAAGTATCTGAAACTACCAATCAAACTCTTGAAAAGTGTAGAGTTCACCGCTTCTCCTCCATCATGCTTGGATAACTTGTTCCCGCACTCTGCTGGTGTGTTAATCGGCTTACATTCCATATTGAACTTCTTGAGGATCTCTTTGGCATATCCTTCTTGAGTGATAAATATTCCATCCTCAAGTTGCTTGACTTCTATACCGAGGTAGTACGCCATGAGGCCAATGTCGGTCATCTCGAACTCTTTAGTCATCACCTTCTTGAACTCTTCAAATATCCTTGGATTATTTCCTGTGAAGATAAGATCATCTACATACAAGCACACAATTTAGATATCTTCACCTTTGATCTTGACATAGAGGGCATGCTCATGTGGGCATTTGATGAACCCATTTTCTTCCAAGTATTTATCGATCCTTTTATTCCATGCCCTCGGTGCTTGCTTTAACCCATATAGGGCCTTTTTCAATTTTAGAACTTTATCATCTTGGCCTTTCACCTCGTAGCCCAATGGTTGCTTGATATAGATTTCTTTGTCAAGATCTCCATTTAAGAAGGCCGATTTAACATCCATTTGATGAATCTTCTATCTATTGTGAGCTGCAAGAGAAATTATTAGTCTAATAGTTTCTAGTTGAGCAACAGGAGCAAATACCTCGTCATAGTCGATTCATTCTCTTTGGTTGTAGCCTTTTGCGACGAGTCTTGCTTTGTATCTTTCAACTTCTCCACTTGAATTTCTTTTTATTTTAAATATCCATTTGACTCCAATAGCTTTGTGGCCTTTAGGGAGCGTTGCAAGCTCCCATGTATTATTCTTCTCGATGGCTTTGATTTCCTCATCCATCGCATCTCGCCACTTTTCATTTTGCTCAGCTTCCTCAAAGGTTATTGGCTCACAATCAGCAAATAGACAAAAAAGTGTAAGATCTTCTAACCTTTGAGTGTCTTCATAGATCTCGTGAAGACTTCTTTCACGTGGCGTGATTCTTCTATTTAAGAAAGATGGTGGCGACTCTTCATTGCTTGGCCCAGGTGAGCTTGGTGGAGTCACATGTTCCTGCCCGATGTCTCTTGCTTGCTCTTCCATCTTTGATTCTTCAAAGTGTGGAATGTAATTGAACTCCTCGTTGGAACTAAGATCCCATGTTTCTTCTTCTTCGAACTCCACATCTCGACTTATCACGATCTGTCTAGTATCAGGATTATATAGTTTGTATCCTTTAGAGTTAGAATCGTACCCGATAAATATGAAGACCTTGCTTTTGTCATCGAGCTTTCTTCTTTTCTCGTCTGGTACATGTGCGTAAGCTTTGCTCCCAAACACTCTCAAGTGAGCAATTCCGGGCTTTACACCGCTCCAAGCTTCTAGTGGAGTCTTTCCCCAAACACTCTTTGTTGGAGATCGATTGGATAGATACACCGCACATGCAACCGCTTCGGCCCAGAATTCATTAGGAAGATTCTTTGTCTTGAGCATGCTCCTCGCCATCTCGAGAATATTACGATTCTTCCTTTCAACAACGCCATTCTGCTGGGGGGATCTTGGGACTGTCAGTGGCCTTCTAATTCCATTTTCTCGACAGAACTCCATGAACTCCTTTGATATGAACTCGCCCCTTCTGTCAGTCCGTAAGGCTTTAATTTTGATGCCGCTTTGCTTTTCGACCATGACTTTAAATTCTTTGAAGGCCTCTAATGCTTCAGATTTCTGCTTCAAAAAATAAACCCAGGTTTTTCTAGAAAAGTCATCAATGAAAAGCAGAAAATAATTACTTTTACTGAGCGAACTTGGAGCTATCGGACCGCATATATCTGCATGAACTAGCTCCAATGGCTTTTGAGCTCTTGAAAAAGACTCCTTCGGGAATGGTTTCTTAGACTGCTTCCCAAGTAGACACCCTTCGCACAACTGATCGAGATGCTTGATTGATGGTAACCCTCTTACCATCTCCTTCTTTGAGAGTAATTCCAGTCCTCCAAAATTCAAGTGTCCATATCGAAGGTGCCACAACCAGGATAAATCTTTATAACAAGATTTAAGACATTTCGCCACATCATTTTGAATGTTTAATAAAAACATTCTATTTTTTGACATTGGCATCGTGGCAATTAATTTATTTTTGGTGTCTCTTATTGAAAGGCTATAATCCTTCATGCGAATATCATAACCTTTCTCCAAGAGTTGACCCAAACTCTAAATATTATTTTTCATATTGGGCACATAGTAAACATTTGAGATAAAATCATGACCTCCGTTTTTCAAACGAATTAATATTTTTCCTTATCCTTGGACTGGAATTTTAGAATCATCACCAAATGAGACATTCCCGCTTACCGACTCGTCGAGCTCCACAAACATACTCCTTTTTCCACACATGTGGTTGCTCACTCCGGTATCGAGGTACCAAGTGTCATCTTGTCTTCCTTCTTCTCCTTTGTAAGCTATAAGCAAACTTGCTTTGGCTTCATCTTTGCTCTCGACGAAATTTGCCTTCTCTTCAATGTTAAGCCTTTGGCTTCTGCACTCAGAAGCAAAATGTCCTAATTTATGATAATTATAACATTTTGAGGAAGACTTATCGTACCTCGATTTTTGGTTGCTCCTTCCTCGACCGTACTCTTTCTTTTCATAATTGGTATAGCCACCTCGTCCGCGTCCTCGGCCTCGACCTTGTCCTTGGCCACGACCTCTCCAATATTCACCACAATTGTTGCTCGGCCCTTCATCCTTTTCTTTCGAGCTCACTTGCATTTTAAAAAGTTGTTCTACAATATCTTGCTTTTTTTTATGTTTTTCTTCGTAAGCTTGTAATGAGCCCAATAGCATATCTATCGACATCTCCTCCAAGTTTTTTGTTTCTTCAATTGTTATAACAATATGCTCAAATTTTGGAGTTAATGAGCGTAATATTTTTTCCATTATTCTAACATCCTCCAATGTTTCACTATTTATTTTCATTTGATTTGATACCGCCAATATTCTAGTAAAATAATTCGATATAGATTCGGATTCCTTCATATTAAGGGATTCAAATTCACCTCGTAAAGTTTGGAGACGTACCTTCTTTACTTGCTCGACGCCTTTGCACGAGACTTGTAACTTATTCCAAGCTTCTTTCGAGGTGGATGCGCTTGAGATCTTCTCGAAATCGTCATCTCCCAATGCTTGGTAGATAAGGAAGAGAGCCTTCTTATCCCTCTTCCTTGAATCCCTTAGCCTTTCCTTTTGTTGTTGGGATAGTGTTGCTTCATCCGGCGGTTCCTCGTACCCGTTCTCTACAATCTCCCACACATCATGAGCTCCTAGTAGAGCCTTCATTTTAATACTCCAATTATCGAAGTTGCTCTTGTTGAGAATCGAGACTTGAAAGGATTGTAGGTTGTTTGCCATTAGGGAATGAACTTGGCTCTGGTACCACTTTGTTGGAATATGTATATATTATGTATATGAAAGTTGAGTAAAATAAGTAATGTGAAGATGATTAGACTAAGATTTTATTTGAAGGAGGTAGAAACTTTTTATTTCTTCTCAACTCATCAATTTACTTTACATCACACATGGGGTATTTATAGGCAACCATGAAAGTTTCTAGTCCATGCCACATAATTCATTTTCCTAGATTTTTCTACACAAATCTATTCTACATACTTCTACACATGCCATAATATCTTTTCTTATATTATTCTACATAAATATAATCTACCACATTCTAGATAATTTTTTCAAATACAATATTATAATTTATAAATCAAGTTTAATTTTCAACAAGATAAACCTTTTAGAACACAATATTTGAGCTCTATTTGCTCGGAGATAAACCTTTGATCCACCTCGTCCTGCCGCCCTTCGGTTCAAAATTTAGAAATCAAACCTGTTGTTATCCTCTCAAATCATGCGTCTCTTTTACGTAATCACTTGTCAAATTAAGTCGTCTTGAATAAAGCAAGTCCTAGTATTTTAAAACGGGAATAAATTAGTTAACCACAAATTAATGTTAGAGAAAATCAAGATCAAGTCTCAAGAAAATACAGTTGTCAAATCTAAATCTGAAGATCAAATCTAATTCTATGAAGACAAGAATCATAGATTCCATAAAGATATTGTACCTGCAATATTGTATGATCGAGATAAAATCAAGTTGTACAAAAATTTATGTTTTTCCCTAAAAATCTATTGTTACGAATTTGACCTGCTTAGTGGGACTTGAAATAAAATTTTTTGTCACAACATGTAAAAAGACGTATTTTTTTAATACACATATGTATTCATCTTCTTTAGTTTGTTGACTTGATTGTCAGGAGATAACGTCCGGAACTCTTTTAGCACTTTGCAGTATGATATAGCATATAGAGCTTGACCCAAATCCGTGACTCTAATATAGCTCGGTTTTGGACCATATCTCTCTTAGTTGTACATAGAAGTGATAGGTCGAGGTAGATTCCTCAGGGCGTTAGGTCGAGTTATCGACCTGAGACCTAGGTGATGACCTGAGACATCGACCATTGAGTTGATACGAGACAACATATCTAGCTCCAACATGTGACTTCATGTCGACCTGGTAGATGCATAAGCCACGTGACATCTAGGGAGGTAAGATTATTAGGATTATTAAAATTTTGAATATATAAATGGAGATATGTCACAAAGAGGTATATCCGATTTCCTTAAAGGTGTAGAGTTCTTGGGGGAAAAAAGTATCTACTCTATTAAAAAAGTAGAGGTATGGTTTTTGTTACATTACGTTTTGTTCATATTCATAGATATATTATACACGAAAGATGGACTAACTTGATTGTTGGAGGCTCTACGTCGCGAACGCTCCCGACACCTTTTTAGGCACTCGGACCAAAATTCAAGCACAATTCAAAAATCCAAAGAGAATTGGCTACTTAACCAAAGTTATTTGGTAGATCTCTATTACACTTAATAGGAGTTCAAGTAGATCGAAAGACTGATAAGTAGTTCAGGAGGCAAATATCTAGTTCGTTTGTAAAGGACTTATCAACTAAAAACCAAATGAATTTATAGGAGACTATGCACCCATGTGATGTACGAGTCGTAATACAAACAGTAATTTTTATTATTCATATTTTATATTTATTTTATTTATAAATTATTAATGGAGATTTATCAATGTAGGTACGGTGCCTGAAAGTTAAAATCTACCATGGACCAAAAACTTCTAAAACTATTGATTTACGACTTTGGTTATGGCCATGTTTAGTTATTAGCTGATATTTTGGTAGCTGATTGTATTAGCTGATAGCTAACAATAGATTTGTAAAAGTTGAGTGTAGTAGTTGTTTCGTAAGTAGCGGATTGTATAGCTATTTTGCAAAATTTTATGTAGACATGTTATCATACGAGACAAGAAGGGCGTAGCTCAATGGTAGCACCCCTCACTTGAGACCAAAGAGGTCACGAGTTCGAGTCATACAGGGGGTAAGTGGAGAACCACTATTGATCCTCTTTTAAAAGAAGGTTAAAAGAATGTTATCATACGAAAACACTCTTCTTAAAATGCTCTTATATTGAGTTTTCTGAGGGTTAGCGTTTTGGACTCAAAAGTCTAATAAAATAAGTTCTTTACCAAGTAAGTTAATTAGCGAATTTGATGGGTTAAATCTCAAATGAGATCAAGTCCACTAATTTTACACCAATCTGCTAACATCCAAACAATGCCTATGTATGTATGTTTGAAACTAGAAAGACGAGTGAATTCTCGATTCAGAATTTGAAAGATAGAATCTATCAATTCAGGAGTTGAAAAAATTTAGAGTATTACTTGAATACTTTATTGGCATAACATCTTCTATATTTTTTTTTATTAATATTGAGATATTTTTATTGATATTATTCTTTATATTTTTATTCTCGAGTCAATAGTTTGCATAGTGTTTCGAGTGGTTCATTTGATTTCGTAGGATTTTTGTCAACTTGGAGATCTTATGTTTAAAGGTAACAAGAGAATTTTTGGTACGCCAAATCGACTAATACCTGACATTAATTGACCAATGTCATCGTGTCACTTTTGTGAGCAATAATTCCAATATATATCAAATAAGTAGTACTATATATGAGCAATAATATCACAATCGACAGGTACACATAACACATCTAATCATTATTCAATCTTATTATGAAAAATGGTAACTCAATGATGCTCTCCTTCCCCTAATTATAAAGCCAAATCATAATAACTTTAAACATTTTTATCATATTCATTCAAATATATATGTTTTGAACATTGGAATTTAAATTTTCATACAACAAGCAAATAGCCAA